CCTGGTTTCATAACGTAATGTGCAAATTGCGAGAAAAAAAATCATAAGTGAAAGCCTTGTCATCTTAAGTGTAACTATTCCTTAATGTCTATTTCATTCTAAAAGGCAATGACAATAGAATAAATAGCATTTTTGCACTTCAGCATATACAAGCTTACACGTTCCAGGGAAATTCTACAAACTGGTCTAAACAGAATTTGCTTTAACATTTTACCCAAGAACTGCATCCTCTACTTGCTGAATTTTAGTAATACCAAACAGCAGATTTAACAACAGCTTTGTTAACAAATCCTATCTCATGGTCAATGCCACAGTTTTAAAAGACCAAAGCATCACCTGCCTTCTAGCCAAATTTTAGAAGGAAAAAATAAATCCGTGTTATCTGACTACTAAAAATTCCACGAAAAAATTGCAAAAAGCCATTCTATTTTTTTGCCACCAGACAGATGAATTAAACTGGAAGCATTACCTATTCTCAGCTCTGCATTAGTATTTCAATTGTGTGATTAAAATAAGAACACAAAACATTTATTTCCTCTTCAAGGGATTTATTCTGCTTTATGGACTAATAACCTACTGATTTAGAATAACTACATATTTATTACTTTTGCTCTATATTTTTTCTTTTACTTTTTCCTTGGGAGATGGAAGAAGGTATTTGAAAGCAGTTTAAAAAACCAAATTTAATTGCATCCAATTCATAACTTATATCTGAAGTTGCACATGAAAAATAAATCCTATTGTGGGAAAAGGTCAAGAAAAAGGAAGAATGGAAATGCTCAAATCTCCCAAAAATTACTCCAGACGACAAAACCTCATAGTGTCATGAGACTGTCAAAAAACAGATTGTAGAAGCACACTGAAATCTGCGTATGGACGGATATTGTGTGCATCTGTGGAGAAACATTCTGCACATCTAACGTACCCCAAGTTAAGTTTCCCCAGCACACACCACCCCTTCCCCCAGCGCTCTACTAACAGACATTGCTGGCTGCTCCAGTATTCCTGGAAGAATAAAGATTCAGAGTTTAGTTTGCAGGACAAACCAAGGGCTGCTGTAGAGTCTCATCACTCTGATTATTTTTTTTTCATAATGATAGTAATTAGTTTTCTTAAGTAGATATTAGCCTACTTTTAAGAAAAATGGCTGAAAGACATGTATAGTTATCAATTGACAAGAGAATATTTTAATAACTTTATGTGCTCCTGACCTAGAAATATAAACTACATATATATCTTTTTCAGATTATTATCTGTGATAAAAGTAGCACAATTAATTCAGAACAATAAAACATTATGCTTAAATTAATTTTATAGGAATGGTCAAGATCTGAGGTTTTCAATGGAATAGATTACGTGCAATGAAACTCTACTTGTCGGAGAAAAAACATGATAAAAACTGAAACCAGATGACTGCTAACTCAAGAGCCTGGGTTTGTTCTTTGTTTTGCTGACATTCTATTCCCCTTAATAAAGTTTAAAGTGATGTTGTGGAATCAGTTGAGTAGTGGTTTATATTTGACAATTAAACCTTTTCAGCATGAGAGAGCAGTGAACATCAAGGTCTAATACAGAAGCAAAGTGCCAGTACTTTTCAAAATCCTTTGTGAGAATTCATCGTTCATAGCGGATGAAAGCACTTAGAAATTTTAACTTCAAAAAATCTGATTTCAGCATAAGTGATTTTCTGTTATAGACTGGACAATTTTTAAAAAAAACACACCATCAGAAACCATTGCTAATAAACCATAACGGAACACTACAGACCATTCTCTTCTCCCGACAAAGTTTGGCTACAAGATGCCACCATCTAGCATGTATGATGTCACGGGCAGCATATCCAAACAAGCATAAGTGATTCAGGCATCTGATTTTCTTCAGGTGTTCCAAATGTTTAGAAAGTTAAGCAATTGACTTTCTTCAGTACTTCTAAAACCTCTACTTTGATTTGTCAGGCATATAGACTAGGAATAAAATAAATTAAAAAAAAAAAATCACCGTTATGCTTACTTTTACTCTTTAACAAGGCTCAGAGTAAGCTTTGCTGAACATTTCATTAGATGTCCGGTAATTGTGACCATAAAAGCATTCCCTTTTTTTCCTAAAGCCTCAAGGCAGCCATCATCTCATCATATTCCCCAGACACCAACAGCTATCCCATCACCTGCCAGAAGGTTTAACTTGCTCATACCCTCACATCTGAACATGTATCTTAATCACACAATTACACGTGTACACTCAGCCACATGAACATCACCAGCCACGGGATTAATTAATGTTATTCACACAAGTACCAAGCCATACGCAGCAGATGCAGAGCTGAGCATGCTTTCTATCTTGTTGGAGGACTAAGCAGTTCTGCCCCTGAAAAGCACGTGCTTATGTAGCATCTCTGTTAAAGGTTGAACCTCAGGAATGACTACTAGGCACCACCATCAAGAAGCACATTCTGTGCTGAACGCTAGAATGGTTTGCAAACAGGAGCTTCCAGTAAATTGTAGATAACACAAACCGTTACCTAGATTAATCCACTTAGATTTACTATCTTGCCTTGGCCTCAGCTCATCAGAGAGCTTCCTAAATTATTTCTAGCTGTTATTCCAAAGTATTTTTTAAACACACCGCAGCCCCTTCTCAAAAGCAGAAAAAGCAGCAGTCTTTGAGGCCAGCCACATTAACAAAACCACACAGTCCATTTTCAGCTACAGAATACACCATTTCCTCCTTTTATTACAGTAAGTGTTCTCTAAAGATGAGCTTTTATGGTACCTCTGAGCTGTTTAATGACTCACTTTCTAAAGGAGATGGCCTCAAACTCCCAATTTTAGCATACCGGTTCTCAAATGCATTGCCTCGTCTGCCTTTGTTCCATTGGTCCAGAACTGTATTATACTAACGAGTTTGTGACATGCACGTGCCAAAGGTCCCAAAGAATCGCTTTGGGTATCAATTATAGGTGGCCATTACCTCTCAACTGCAGCTCAGGTCAAATCTTTCTAGAACTGCATCCTCTCTAAATCTGCCATGGGTCCTTGCAAGCACCCAATCTTCTTTTGCACCACTATCACACTTGTTCCCTCCTTCCTGCACTTCTGTTTCAGCCTATAGAGCAGAAAAACTGTTGGAAAGAGTAAGCATTATTTTCATTTCATATGTCAGCATGGCAAAAGAGGAAAATCCCAAACTCTCAACAACTACACCACTTTAAGTGGAAGGCCAACATGTCTCCACCATCCATCAGCATGATGTGCAACTGTTTAAAATTAGTCAATACGTGGTTAGGTGTTTTCTAGAGATGGAATAAAATATGCACCATGTCAGAAAAATTAGAAACAGGTCTGAAAGTTTAAGAAAAAACGTTACTTCTTTAGAATGAGATTGTAAGCCACTTTCACCTGCACTGCTAATGACTGAAGTACAACCAACCTAAAAGTTTATTGGAGGCATTGTACCAACAGGGGAGGAAAATAAGCAACAGGTACAGCAGTGCAGAGTTGTTCCAGGAAAACCTACAGTGCTAACTCAATTCCACCTCCAGAAACACTCCTAGTGGATCTGTCTAGGACTCCAGGAAGCCAAGATTTTCACGTCAGGAGAGCTGTCAAAGACAAGTAAAAACCATGCAATCTTTATGCTATTGGTTGCCTACATGAGAAGATCTCTACTATTGACATTTTGGGCTGTAAATTCCCCCATAAACACATGGATGTTACTAATCCAGTCTATCCAGCCATATTCAGGTTATTTACTATATACAGACATTTTTATTAACACATTGAAGCAATAGTGGAAGAAAAGAGGTTTGTCTTGGTTTATGTTAAAGTTCAAAAGACACAGAAGCATGGATTAGACTAAAAATTTTTATTGAAACTTGTCCAAAATCCCATCAGGCACACAATTTATCCATTCCACTAAGGCTTGTCATTTTGTATGGCATAGAAAAATGCATTTCAACAAGTTGAAACATCAAACAACTAAATTAGTGAAGTTAAGGCACTTGAGATGTGTGTTAATTTAGCAAAATTGCTAATAACAACATTCTATTTTGAATGATAATAGTCCTTCCCGAGATTCAACCTAAAGCGTCCAAATTCTGTAACCCCTTGAGACAAGGGGGAAGCAGAAGCAGGAGACAAAAGTCTCGGCATATTTTCCTCTGACTAGTAACCTCCAAGGCCACCACAGCCTACCAAAGGAAGTATTACCAAATCAGGCTGCAAAGATTTCCTGTAGTACAGGTGCTGAACTGCACAACCGTTTGGGCTGAGGCACAGCATCTTCCACTCAAGAATCCTTAAGGCAAAATATCTTTGTGAGATGAAAGAACAAAAGGAGAGAGCAAAAAGCACGTGCATTCAATTGTAAACAAATCTTTCCTGGGGTAATCATCTTTATCCTGGGATTAGATATCTTGGCCCATTCCCATATCCTCCCCAAGGATAAAAACTTGGAGAAAGTAAGTGGAGAATGCCAGAATTTAGATACTGACCAAAAATCTGATACCTGTCGGTTTGTCAGGGCTCTGAGCAGTAACTTGAAAGCCAGTTAGCAACCTTAAATTCATGCTACAGATAGCTAGTTACCTTTGTAGTTTGGGTTTGTGATTTTGAGAGTGTGAGTGTTGATCAGTATAAAACTTTATTTTGGCTCTGAGCCAACGTTTACAACTCAAATGTGGCAGTTTCAGCATTTGGCAAATAAAGTTTTTAATGAATAATTGAATGAATAACTCAGTTCTACCCGTTGAAAATTCTCCCTTCATCTGTGAAACAACCTCTTGCATCATACAGCAGTTACATACTCTTCTCAAAAATGAGACACAGCTCTAGGATATGCACATTCCACACTGGAATTCGGAGTATGCTCCAAGGGTCGCACACAGACTGAAAGAAAAGATTTCCAGGTACATGAAGATGTTTTCTCAACCATGAAAAAGTATGACAGAGAAGCTGTTGTCACCTGCTCTGCGCAAACAGGAAATAAAGTGATAAATATTTGAGGGAAAAAGAAACATATGGAAAACAGATTATGAAATTGAATTTAAAGTACTGTTTCTAGTTAGTCTACAGAAATGTTTTTCTAAGCATTAAGTTCTGAATTTCACTAGAAGTAGAATTGTTTAAGAAGATGTAAAGCTTATGAAAAAAGAGATTGCATCTTAATACTCTGTGTCCTTCAGAGTAAATTGCTTGTTATATTTAAGGCACTACATGTCCTCTTTGGTTCAGTGTTTAACTATCTCATTCAGTGTAAAGAGAGGTAGCACGAACCATACATATCTAGCTCTTCCATTCCATTACACGCAATTTCAGAGTCGCCACCTTTGTGATGTTACCGATTCTGGAATCCTTTAACTCATTAGGAAACTGCAGGAATAAAATAACATTCTTATTAATTTTATAAGAAACAAAAGGTGTACAACATTCCACTTAGCTTTCATACATGCCAAGAAAATCAGAGTAAGGAACTGAGCCTGATGCAACTACGACAGAAACAGCTGTGAAGAAGTCTCTTAAAAGTGAGTCTTCTACTAACTCAAAAGCCAAGACAACCACATCTTACCTACAACAAAGCTAGCAGATGCACATAAGACCATTGCACAGACCAAAATAAATGCTGACCAGTTATTAAACAGGGAATAAGTCCAGCTCTCTTCTCGTCTTGAGAAAGGTCTTTATGAAATAAGCTTTATTATTTAGAGATTTTTAAATAAGAACTGACTTCTCATAGAAAGAGGATAATATTTGCCCATGGGATTAGCCTTCCAAATTAAACTCTCTGCAGAAGCTGAGACAGTTAGAAGCTGGTCCCTCAACATGTATTTATTCCTTCAAAATGCATAAAACCTAGCAAAACCACACCAGATATCTATACCAATCATATATATAAAGCAGTCAATTAATAGTGTTAAGATGCAGCTTTAAAGCATCAGCCATCCCCCTTGTTCTCACAAATAAGCATTAATAAACACGATGTATAATTATGGAGGAAGAGAAAAGTAGGAGGGGAAAAAAAAAGACACTTGTTTTCAGTATAAATTGGCTGAGATATCACTATGAAAATAGAAATATTTTTATAATATGCAATGACATGGAGAGTACCACAATCTTTCCTTTGGCCAGACTGAAAAATCACGATATCCAAATACCATTATTTCTGATGATTATATTGACCAATATTGCCACTCTTTTGAGAGGCAAGTGGAGCATTTTTAAAATAGTATTTCCCACCAAATTACATTTCAGAAAATAGGCCCTTTGCTTATTTCTCCATTCTGCTTTATATTAATATCACCAGGTAAGG